CCGTCCCCTGGCGCAGCAGCCTGAGCTCGGCCCCGCGCTCCGCAGCCGGTGTTTAGAATAAATAAACAAATAAATTAAAGGAAACTTTCGGGGGAAAAGCGCATCTGTGTTTCTCCCCCCTCACCCCCCTGAAAGCCTGCCTCGGGTCAGGCAGTCTGCGAGAAACCGCGATTAATTTCGCAAAAAGAGGTTGAGGCCAGCTTGTCGATGAGGAAACTGAGGCACGAGGAATCCGTGATCCCTAGGAAACCTCTAGCTCTCAGGAAACCAAAGGGCACCGTCTCACCCAGCCCACGCTCCCTCTTAGCTGGGTACCTGGGCCCAGCCAGGCACGCAGGGCCAGCTGCGGTGATTTATACTTGCAAGTGAGTAATACCGTGTGAAATGATGGCCACTTACACTGGATACCTGCGTGCTTGCGGTGAATTATGAAGCGGAGGGTCAGAGGCCACCCGTCTTTAATACCAGCAAACTGCAGGTATCCAGTATAACTGCACCTTTGAAGCATGTTATTGCTGAGACAAAAATGTATTTCTTTCATTTATTGTTACAGCTGGTTTGCTGGTTAAAACACTGTGTTGGACCCTACCTTTCACTGACAAAAGCTTTCTCCTCTCAGATTTCATTTAAAATATGCAGTAGTAGTGTTGTTTAGGTTAGAGAGTGTTTAGAATTACGTTTTGGGGGCAATGGTGTGTCCTTTCCCTTTTGCTTAGGTTTAGTACTTTCAGGTGTACTCACATGGAATTACAGTGCTGGCATTACACTGGGTTCATTTTTATGGAGGCAAATAAATGGTAACATATTGCACTCCTTCCAAAGGAGCCATACCAAACAGCTCCACTAGGAAATAATTTAATTTTTTTTCTTACTTCTTCCTCACCTTAATTGTCCCATGTATAGAGCACGAAGGTACAGAGTGAGAAACTGATCTCCTTCAAAAGAGTCTGGCTGCATCTGGGACTGCGATGGAGCATTCCCGCTGACTTGACCGTCTAAGTCTCCTGATTTTATCAGGGGACATCCTGCTCTGGCGGCAGTCCTCCTTGCTTTTTCTATTTTCAGCAAATCCCTCAATTTTCTCACATTTCTTCCTTCTTGTCTTGATTTGGGGCTTGACAGGTGCTATTACAGCCAGTGGAAGTATTAATTTCAGGAGTCATTGGAGGAGGCCTGTACTCACACAGCTGCTCTCTGAGGCCAAAATAGGAGGAAGGGCACAGTATGTCTCTCCTTGTTGCCCTGTGTGGCAGTCCTCTGGAAAGCTCACACTTGTCCCACCATGTTCCTTTTAAGTGCACTTCCCACACCTGTGTGGGTCTTAACGGTTGCCATCCACTTTGGAGACCCTAGTGATGTCAGTGGACCATAGCACTCTCCCTCTCAAAAACCCCTTTCTTTTCTAGGTATTATTAAGCAAGCTGGTGCACTGTGTCACATCCTAGTTTGCAGTATCCATGAAGATGAAGCTGTTGATCCTTTCTGCGAGGCAGAGTAGTGTGCAAGTCTTGAACTTCTCCCTTTTTTTCCCTCCCCGATATTAAGGACTTCCTTCCCTTGTCCTCTGAGGCAGAGGAATCTGTTACTTACAGTGACAGTCTTTAAATGGTTGGCATAACATTGTTGAAAGTGTGCTTGGGTCAAAGCTTTCCATGTATCATGACACAAAAGTTAGTCACGGAAGAGGGAAAGATGCACAGTAACTTTTTATTCAAGGCATAGTAAAATATGTCTAGTAGGGCTTTCATTCCTTGTAACATTTATGAAGAATTTTTTACATTTTATTTGTACAGTTGCATGAAAACTAAAGATAGATGTATAAAGCATGCAACTAAGAAGAATTTCAGCACTACTTAGTATTAAAGACAGACTCCTTCCCTCTCATCAACAAGCCAGAAGCGAAAACAGTTTCAGAAGATGTCTCATTTTCCAAATTCTCAGCTTTGGCAGGACAAAGGGAAAGGAACACAGCAGGACATCAGATACTGCCACTGCCAAGCATTCAGACGTTACCAAGGTTTTTGGATGGTGGAAAATAAGTATCACCATATGTGACTTTCTGTACGGGTAAATGGCAGTGACACAAGGTTCATTTATACTTGTCAATTTCTTAATTTCTTTTCCTCAAAAAAGTAGAAATAAAATGTTTTATCCATACTTATGCACACACATTGTCAAGATGAAGTGAAGAAACCCTTGTTCTAGGCAGATTCTAAAAGGTGTGCTCATGAAGTCATGCACATCTGGTGGCAGGATGCAGGAGATTGACACTGAAATTGCTTGAGTGGAGTCATGAAGATGCCTTAGCATGTTTAATGTAAGTTGCTACAGAGACATGGTGTCTCCAAGAAAGCCATTAATAATCAAGTAGTTGTGAGGAGAGTTACGCATCCAGAAGATGGTCAAACCGTGCAAACAGGTCGGATTCAACGGCCTGCCCTGGGTGCTAATTGACATCATGGTTAGACACCCTCTCTTTAAGCCCTCAGTTTTCCTGTCAGATGTTTTCTTTCTAATATGCATAGTAAGAGACCAGATTTATTTAAAGTGTACTCACATGCCAACCTGTTTGGGGGCTGGTGTGTTGTTTTTTTTTTTTTTCCTTTTTTCCTATTTGAGATTCTTTTCTCTATGATCTCCAATGCCAAACTCCAATGCAGCCCCTGAGGTCTTTGCATATGCCAAAACCACAGGGTTTCTTGATGACTGGTTTCAAAGAGGAAAGAAAAGATGTTGTGGTGATACCTCACTTTCCAAACTAGCTATGGAAATAACAAGAAAAAAAACCAACGAACCAAACCAGCATGTACTTGCTGCGTTTTATTCATCATGCCTGGGAATGGCTGTAGGAATATCTGCTGCTTAATAATCTTCTCTTGGGACTAGCCACAAATCTTTTCCCTGGGGTCCTGCAAATCTCATCCTCCAGCCACCTCTAATTGACGTGGCTGAGCGAGCAAAACCTCTCTGCAGTTGTGGCTTAACCCAACAAAAGAGTCATTTTGCGACAGGGGTTATATTGTTAAGGAAAGGTTTTAACTCTCCAGCCAAAAAGCGGGTGTGGGTTTTTTTTTTTTTGCCTATATAAGCACAGTCCTCAGTCGGTGGGTTTGTCCTGCAGCCGCTCTGGTGTGCTGCAGGGCCAGCAAGGGCCCTTCTTCCCTGCTGCCCTTGTGCTGCTTGACGTGTTAGGGGTAGCATGGGGCAAGTTTCATATGCAGGCCTTCTTCTGCAGGGGCACCCATCAGAGAAACGCGCATCTTGGTGCTTGCCTGCTTGCTTTCTGCTAGTATTGGTAATCGATGCTACAGGTAGAGAAGCTGAACCGACGATCACCAAGCAGGGACATGTGCACTTCCTGCAAGGCTTGAAGGTGTGGCGATTTCAAGGGAAATGAGCTTCCGCATGTAACTTTCAAATATTTTCATGTTGCTGAGTGCGTCATTTTTGTACAGTACAATTTAAAAGAGGATGAGAGGAAATAGTGCTTAGAAAGTGTGTCTAAAATTGGAGAATGCAAATTAAAAATGCAGATTTTATTATCCTTTAGTAGCTTTTACTGAATAGAGAGGAAGATTTTCTTCTGAAGTCTCCATAGGAGAGAGGCCTACATAACACAGAGTGTATCTACCTTGGAAAGAAGAACAGCTGAGTCAGTGCCTCTGAGAATTGAAACTGTGGTTACAGACAATCTAGCAAGTCTAGATCTGTGTCTTAGGCCAAGATGCTCCAGCTTCTGTTGTTAATACTGGGCTTTATTTTTATAAGAATGGGTGTAGGTTGTATAAAATTATTAGGGAAAAGACCTAGGACTTGCTACATGGGTACTGTGGCATAGTTATTGTTTTTTTCCTTTGTATTTATGGAATAAATTTATATGAAAACCTTTACTGTGCTACAAAAGTGAAATGTGCGGAAGGCAGTAACCTATTTCAATAGATATACTGTTATGTTAACTCAGCCTACCTCCAGAGAAATGGATTTCCTAAGCATGAAACACTTTCCTGGAAGTTGTACATTCATGGCAGTGCAATAATGCAAATATTTAACCTAAATCTTCTTTGCTCAAAGAAGAAAAATCACAGTAGGATTTTCCCAAAACAGAGAAACATCATCCATTATTAAGAGCAGTTAGGGAAATTAACATTTTTACAAACTGGTCTTTTTTGTGAGAGGTGCTCACAAAACCAGATGTGCTGTTTTTGTGCTTAGCCTCAGCTACACGCAACAGGCAAAGAACAAGCATTCCCATTCAATAAAAAATTTCAAACATGTGCTAGGAATCAGTAATGTTTGCAACATAATTTCAATTTAAAGATTAGATTTGGCTGTAAGAAAGTAAATGTCCAAAGATGCTCTGATTTTTCATTTATGACGTTCTGTTTTATTTATCTTATTTTCTGAACAGACAGGCATGCACACACATATTAATGTAAAAAGTAGAGTGAACTTTCACTTAAAATAGGGATGAAATTAGATGCTGTTCCAATTAAATCCTTGGGGTGAGATGTGGGAAGGCAAATGAGGGGGACTTGTAAGGTGTTATGACTGCGTTTTAAAATGTCTCACTGAAACACACTGGGATGGTTTAAATGGACTATTTATGTTAGTACAAAAAAATGAATCTTAAAAAACTGTATTAAAACAAATGAGCCGTGACAAATCTGTGAACACACCAACCTTGCAAAATGTCTGCAGGGTTTCTGCTCAGCCTTTGGGATTTCTTATTAAGCACTTTGATGAGATTAGGGAAACCATCCTAAGCAACATGCGAAAGAGTATGATGTGTATGAGTGCTGAGCTGCCATGAAATGAAGGGGAAGCAGAGGGACCTGCATGATCTTGCCCGCAGCAGTCACCATGGTGGTGGCCAGCAGCACCACGTTGATCGTGTCTTTTCCCTCTTTGTCCGACAGGATGTGACATGTGTGCTGACAACCGCAACGGCGAGTGCCCCATGCACGGGCCCCTCCACTCCCTGCGCCGGCTGGTGGGCACTAGCAGTGCTGCCGTGGCAGCCCCTCCACCTGAGATCCCAGAGTGGCTTCGGGACCTGCCCCGGGAAGTGTGCCTGTGCACCAGCACGGTGCCCGGCCTGGCCTACGGCATTTGTGCGGCACAGCGGATCCAGCAAGGCACCTGGATCGGGCCCTTCCAGGGAGTCCTGCTCTTGCCAGAGAAGGTTCAGGCGGGAGCCATCAGGAACACTCAGCATCTCTGGGAAGTAAGTTATTGTCTTCCTTGTCAAATTTGATTGTTTTGAAGTACACATTGAGTGTAATTTTATGTAATACTAACACTGTTCAGTAGCTGTGAAAAAAAACCCCAAACAGAACGCAACTTAAGTAGGCTGACCCAGCAGATTTGAAAATGTAGCCAGTGCAAGCAAAGGCCTTGCAGCCAGAAAACCAGTGGACACCTCAGAGCTCCGATTAGTTTGCATAGGAAGAGCAGATTGTTACAGGTGCTTTGATGTGGAATAGAGAGACACGTCCAGAGAAGCCTGAAGGTTAGAACAGCCAGTGCTCTTTACATTTTGACATGAGTAACAAAGGGTGGATGGATCTCTCAGGTCATGGCACCAGCTGTATCATCTTAGTTTGAGCAGCGTATGTGGGTTGAGATTGCATATTGCACCATCACTATGGCCTACAGACAGTCCAAGAAAGCTGCTGAAACAAGTGCAAGAGCCTGTTCTACAGCCCTTCTATTTGCACAGTGAAGGTATTAGTCCTTGTTCACAATTTAGTTCAACTCTGGTCCTGCACCAACTATGCATTCCCCTAATGATGCTTCCAGTGCTTTTGTGTGAAAGACAATTTCAGCTCTCTGAAGAAGTTGGTTTTTTGTACTTGTCACCATCTTAGAGAGGGTAACAGTGATAATTGATATGAAAACATTCAGGCTGTGATGGTTTGGTTTATTTTGCAATGAATGCTGACTGTGGTTTGACAGAATAGATCATGAACCTGCTATTGTATTCCTTTGGCTGTACAGGGATATCCATGACTGTTACTGTTCGTGACTGTGTGCATTTTCCCCAGTGAAGCACTGGAATTTTGTGCTTAGGTATAGTTTGTATGCAGATGCTAACAACAGTGTCTTGTGGTAAGTTAATTTAGAAAGAAAAGAAAGTATATGCTCATTTCACACACAGGTCTAATAATTAATAGGGAACATGTATAACTCCTGTATATGTCACTACTTCTTTCTTACAGAAGCAGCCTACAGTCTACCTAGCCTTTTGCCATTCATTTCTTTGTTTTGTGCCGGAAGGTGTCATTTCTTAGTTTTGCTTAGTCCTCTGTAGCCGCAGCTTCTGCTCACCTCAAGACTAACTGCTGCGGAGAGTCAGTAGAAATGTGCCCATAGATCTGCAGGTGGTATTTGCTCATCTAGACCAAATCCGAATCTTCAGAATGTAGGGGAACATGCTTGCTGGTTAGAAACCCAACAAAGAGTCCATGGAGATGCAAGGAGTGTTTTTGCTGTTTTCAGTGGGTACACAGTAAAAGTGAATGGATTTTTGAAAGACAGGTGGTGGTGTGGAGCCAGTGTGTTGTATAGAGTGCTTGTTCACAGAAAATCTGTGAATATTTAGACTGTCAGCTTTCTGGGACTGATGATTACTTCTTTTAATCAGTATCTTCTATTTTTGCATGCTATCTAATATGTGTAACTTCTTTGTATGAGTAGGAGCTCCTATGCATTTCCTATATGCAAACAAATAGTAAATAACACACCAGGGTGATTATCTCAAAGTGTTTACCCCAAAAAAGTCATTGTGACAAGAGGGAGATTTTCACATTAAAGAGTAAAAGATCAGTCTCAGAACACACCTAAATGTACTCAGTAAAATTGAGCGACTCGCAATCGTTGCCAGTTTTGTTGCTGCCTTCAGTGGGGATGGAATTTCTCTTGTATAGTAGATATTAATAAATTGGACTTAAATCTTAAAAGTCCAGTGATTATAATGAAAGCATTTTGAGATATGTTATTAATCTAATACTTTGTTATGGAACACTCCATAATGATGTTGGAGGCTTTATTTTCGTTGTTAAGAGAGGTTTTGTGGTTTAGATTATGCTAATCAACAGAATGTAAAATATAAAATAATAAAATAAGCTTGCCAGATCATTGAGTTACATAAAACATTAAAATTTAGCTACAATAAATGGAGTTAGAGAGTTTTACATTATCTTTAAATATTTACATTATCAATTTAGTTTTTTTAATTATGAATCAGTATTATGCAAGTGAAGTTGCAAATATTGATAATATATTTTTTAAATAGGCAAGAATTTTTCAGTCTAATTTCAGATGAACTTAAAATTGTTTTAAAGCAATGAAAGAAGAAAGGTTGTTGGGGAGAAAGCAAAAAGCAGCAAATAAAAACATATTAATTAAAAATACAAAATAGTACTGATGTATGTGCCAGATTCAGGCCCTCGATGGGTGTTAGCTGAGTTTTTGTGAGGGTTTGCTCTTCTGTTCTTAACATACAACATCGATCTCCTGTTGGCTAGCAAAATGAGTGTGTGAATTTTACATTAATTATCTTAAAAATAATAATAAAATTTAATTTTTTTTAGGGAGGTGTTGTGGGCAACTCACAATCTCAGATTATTTCTGTTAATTGCAAAAATTGTTCACAAAGAATCACATACTCTAAGCTTTAGCTAAAAGTTTTGGCTGTTTCATTTGTTTTGACTTTCAATCTGGTATGTTTTATCTATCAGAGAACTAATGTTTAATAAAGAAAAAGAATAGCAAATCAAAGTAATCAGAAAGTGTATGTGATTTTACAAAGCTGATCTATGAAAATAAATAAAAGTAATCAAAAGTATGTATCTGAATAGCCTGTATTCTTTACACAGTATAGGAGTGTGGATTAAATCACTGTAAACATTAAAGGAATGTCTCATCGTTGTCCCTTTATAAAGTTGTGGCTTTAGTCATTTCTCTTCCACTGATCTTTTCAAGACAACTGCAAATACAAGTGTGTCCACAGATCAGTTATTCAGTATTAGGTCTTGATGGACCTTGTAGAGAGAACTTCTCCTTCTTAGTACCATAAATAGCGTTCTAATATTTTTTCTCTCAGCACTGCAATGTAAAGTTGATAGATATTTGTTTTCATTTACAGTTTTTTGTTCTCAGTGTGCACCGGATAAATAGAAGGGCTATTGCAAAGACTTTTAAGCATAGTTTCTGATTTGGCAGCTTTTTTTATCCTCTTTGTTGTGGGAAACATCAGAAGCATTGCATTTGATGTATAGTTCAACACTACGGAAATATGCTTCAGTCTGTCTGCACAAGTGTTCCCACCATGCACTCAGTGTTTGCTTTGTATGTAATCCATACAGCATAATGTACAGTGATTCAGAGTAAATTACATACCATTCCATTACCTCACAACAGGCCTTGACACCTATGGGTGTTCATGGGAAATTATAGAGTTCTCTCGCAATCAGCCAAGATAATTTTTTATAACTTACAGAAAGATCAGCCCTTCAGAAAGCCAAAAATATTAGTCATTTTTAGTTGTAGTTCTTTTTTTTCCCCTTTGGCCCACTTCTATCAATCCAGAGTTTGCTTGTGTTTTATAGAAATACAATAAACTCTGATTTGTTTAAAACAAAAACAGGACTGGGTGTATTAAGTAAACACTCTCTTTGGTAACACAGGCATTTATTCAAGCACTGCTTGATAATATTTCTGATCTTTTTTCTTTTTTTTTCATTTGAAGTAATGAGAAAAATCCTTTTGTTATTGCAAAGAAAACAGAGACTTTCTCAGCAATTAAGTCTTACTGATGAGAATGAGATAATTTTCCCCTAATGTGTTTTCTAATAAAGAAGTGAAAAGGCACACTTGATTCCAGCATATATGAAAACATTATCTCAATTATTAATGTGTCCCTACTCCCTGGAGATAAATTAATCTGGTTGCACATGGTTTCCCCTTTCTGTTTAACATCAAAATTTAATAAGAGTAGACTTTAGGAATTTATACGATATACACTTACATTCTATTAAAATAAAATACAGACGTTTAAAAGGCTTATACATTTTAGTAGTTGAGGTTTTTCAGGCTCCGAACTTTAAACTGTGAATTCTGGAAACAGCTAAATTGTAAATGGTCTTTTCCCCTGCAAATGTGGTTTAGATGAAAAAACTTTTACTGACAGACATATCAAAGGATAGAATCTTACAGTTTCCTTTTCTTCATTCACCTGATAAAGAGTTTGCTATCTGTCTTGATTTTTTTTTTGTCAGAGGTCAATTTTTTTTTTTTTCCCTTGGAATAGCCCAAGAATGTCAAATATATTGTTTCACTTTATTTTAACTTGACTTAAGTTTCGCTTTTCTGGAAGAAATGCTTTTTCCTGTGTTAGGTTTTTTTACAGGGATGAGCAAAATATACATATAGCAGAGCGTTCATTAGTAATTACAAAATGCTAAACCTGTGTTACTGATTTTCCCCTTAAATGGACAGGATCAACTGCCACTACGAGAAAGTTTGTGTGTCATTTTAATACAGTACCATTTTGGTACTTACTGACCTTTTTGTACCCCAAATGAAGTCAAAGAAAACATTGCCTTTGACTTCATCTGGATCAAGAACAGGCATTTCGCTGGGATGCGTGCCGGCCAGAGTCTATGCAGTGGTACTGCACGTTTCTGTATAAATTAATATGCAGAGAGAATCCTTACCTTTCAAATGAAGCACTCATTCCAGTTTTGGTGACAGATTTGTATTCAGATTCTCAAGGCTGTAGTTTTGGACTAAATTCGCTGTTACAGCAAAGCACTGGGGGATAGAATTATGTGCATGCCGTAGTTCTATTAAAGTGAAAATTATGTTTCTCAGCAATCCATCATCTAGTATTCTAGACTGCTTGTCAGCCCTGTTTCAAATATGTCATGTTCATGAAATTCAAATAATTTTGTCTTGAAAAAACCCCTTAGTTATATTACTATTATATCTTAAATTATGCAGAGTAACAGCTGGTGCCATTCTGTTGGTTTGTTTTGCCTTTTCTGAGGATTTTGTGCGGCGTACCACCCTTGTGTTTATTTTCTATTAAAAAGGCACAATAATTTTTACTTTTACATGAACTTTAAGTTCACATGCTGCCTACCGGAAATATGCCTAATTTTGTGTTTAGTAGCTTGCTAAGCTGAAAGTTCAGTAACAGCACATTCACCACCACAGCTTCTT